TTCTGTATTTTCCTCATCATCTCTCATACATTTCATACTTAGAGTTTGAGCTTCACTTGATTTCATATATACTCTATTGTGAGGTTTGATTTGTATCAGTTCTTGAGAGGATTTCTTGTACTACAAATTCTATCTACAAATTTGCTGTAAGCCTAGGAGGAAGAGTTTCTCTTAGCAAAGAAATTGTAAGGGCTGGTGTGGCCTATGTAAAACTAAGAGAGGTGGTCTCTTAGCAAGGATACTGTAAAGGGTTGGTGTGACCCAAAAGGAAGCCTAGGAGAAGGGTGTTCTCCTAGCAAGAAAAAGAAGCAAGGTCTTGCTTCAATTGAAGGTTTGCTCTCCACCATTAAGAAGAAGCTCTAAGGAATTTGGGAAGTCTCAAGAGGGATCTTGAGCCGAGGAGTAGGAGTTTCCGAACCTCGCAAAAATCGTCGTGTTATTGTTTGCAATTTCTCTTCCCTTATCTCTTTTACAGTTATGCTAAATTGATTACTTTCATATCTTGTTTATTACATAATTGGTTATATTATTGATTAGAAATTGTACTTCTATAATTTGCGAAAATTGGCCATTGACTCTATTCACCCCCCCTCTAGAGTCAATTCTTGGGTAACATAGCTGTTGGAGCACAATCTGGAGATGAGGTGTGAATAGTCCAAGCTTACAGGTAGCCGTTTGATTTGAAGTTGACTTTGTGTCGGTCGGCTGATGTAGAATCATCGGTCGGCTGAAAGTCTCTTGTCAGCCGGCTAATCCCCAATCGTCGGTCGGCCGAAACGATTGGTTTAAGAATCCAACTCACTGTTTTTGAAACCTTTCCTTGTCGGTCGGCTGATGCATCAAATCGGTCGGCCGATGCATTTATCATAAAGATTATTTTTCATGAAACCCTTGTTGGTCTACTGAACCCTCATGTTCGGTCGGTCGAAACATCTCTTGGCCAAACCAAACTCACAATTTTCTCTATCAGCCGGCTGGTGCTTCAATTTAGTAGGCCGAAAGCTCTTGAATGTGAATTGCATTTCCTGTTTCTTTGTGCTAGGTCTTCAAGAGCATTTTATGGACCATGTATGATGTCATTTGAATCAAATGATGAAGAATGAATGATCTTAGGATGAGCTTCATGAAATTCATATACCACTTTGACATTAAAATCTAAAAACCTTACCAATCCTATCTACCCCATTTTAATCGCCGGTCTTAATCACTTTTGATCTTTGTGTTTCATCCTTGAGGCTTTGGGATTGAATGGGTTGTCTTCTTTTATCTTTGGAATGCATAGTATGTATCTTACTTGGCTTTAGCTTTCCTTGTTTTCCACTTCATTTTTGGACTTCAACTAGCGAACCTGTTACATATCCTTAAGGCAAATATTAGTCCTTAAAACATCATTAATGTTTTGTGATCGTCAAAATTAGTCTTAGGGTTAACACCTTTGTTTATACGTAAAATATTTTTCAAATAATATATATATATTTTTTTATTTTTTGGTGTTTGGTTGTCGTAAAATATTTACAAAGAAAAAAAATATTAAAATCTAACAAAAATAAATTATTTATCAATTTTTAATAAGTTATTTTACATGCTCTGCCCGACGGACGAACTTGACCTCAATCTCGACGTAGTAAACCTTTGTCAAACACAGGAAAAGTAAAAAATAAAAGAATATTTTGGTCGAAACATACGGAGCCTAATCAAAAATATTCTACAATTTTATCCACCTCATATAATTATTTAAGGGCGTGAATCATCTTAAGTGGATTCCCATGCGGTCTCCTGTAGTGAGCTCCTAAGTGGTCTATATTTGGCCACGTCTTTCTTCATTTAACAGCTCTTAAGACCGCGTTTGGCAATTACACTATTATTTATAAGTAACATTTTACCACAATTTATAAGTAACATCATAGGAGTCTAAAAATTAGCATCACCATTTGTAATAGGGTAACATCACTACTTAAAAAGTAAAAATTGTTGATAGCCAAATACCTCATAATCCCCTTCAAAATCATCTTTAAATTAACATGTGACTATTTTTTGGATGTTCTATTTTTTATGATAAAATTTAACCTGAAAATTATATAAATAATATGTTGAATTGAGTTATATTTATGTGTGATTATTAGTTTTTCAGTACTATATGAATATCTTTTTTGATGGTGAAAGTAGTGAGTGTGGCAATTAATATTAAATTTTGCCAAATTTTTTTCAAAGATATGTTATATAATTTATACCTAACGCTTTGTTTGGAATGCTGGATTTGATGGGATTTGGATTTGGAAATAGGATTTGCCTTGTTTGGAACCATATACCGAATCACAAATAGGATTTGATAATTATAGGATTTCAAATACCTTCTTCATTGCGTTTCAAATCCATTCTAAAACGCCAGGATTTCACGGGATTTGACTGGATAAATATTCTTAATTATACACTTCCTTAATTAACCCTTTAACCCTTCTTTTTATTAAAACCTATCATATTAAATATCTACTACCATATCTCAATGTCTAACGTTTTCCTTCATCTTCGTTGTTTTAATATATATTCCTTTGAGTGTTGAGCATATCCAATTTTGTGTTCAGCATATCCAATTTTTATTTTATTTTATTTTATTTATTATTTTATTGTTTTAATTTTTGGTATACTTCCGTATCTTAAATTACATTTAACATATTGATCCTCAAAGTTATGGAACTTTGGGTAAGACATCGATTTCTCAAAATTACAAAAAGTCTGTATTTAACCGATTGAACCACCACCACTTTTGTTCTTGTACTTGAAAAATCTACAATACAAAATTTTATAACCAAAACTCATACTCCAATCCTCCATATTTAAAAAATCTATAATACAGAATTACTGCAATCCTCCATAATTCACACCATTTTTTTTTGTTTGCTATACTCCAACAGATTAATCTACCACAATACAGAATTGTATAACCAAAAGTTGATCTACCACAATACAGAATTGTATAACCAAAAAGTCTGCGTTTAACAATTGATCCACCAACTTGAATTTTTTTTTTTTACTTATAATCAAAAGTCATGGAATCCAATACTTTATTATTTGTGTACTTAAAAATTTAAACGAATATAGCATAATTTTATAAGTAAAAATCACATTATCCAATTCTTCAAAATTCACAGATAAGTCATATATATATATATATAAGCCAATATTGCCAATATTATCTTTAATAATTGTTTTTTTTTTTTCTTTTTAAATAAATTTCATGTTTCAAAGTTCCATCACGTAATCATTCTTGTTGTTTGTCTTCTTGCTGTAACTTTGGAGTATATTTTACAATAAAATAAATATTTCATTTATTATTTAAATAAGGGCAAAAATGGTATTATATTATTTTTATTCAAAATCCCATTTTAATCCAATTTGTTCCAAACATATAAATAGAATTTCATTTTAATTCCAATTCCTATTCCAATTCAGATTCCTTTTCCAAATCCTAAAATAATTGATTCCAAACAAAGCGTAAGTATATATATATATATATATTAATATTTGGAAGGAAAAAAGAAAAGAAAAAGATGTGACTCTTTTCGTAATTTTTTGAAATATCAAGTATTTTGTTTGTTGTCTAAAGTGAATAAAGTGACTTTAATTTTGGTTTAAATTCTTTAAATTATCATGTTAAAGTGTTTTTAAAATACTTTAATTTCAAATAATAACATAAATAATATATTGAATTAAGTTACGTTTATATGTGACATTACTTAATCTGCATTATGTATATACTTTATTTTGAGGGTGAAGATGATTTATTTTGTTAATTTAAAAAGGACTTTAAGGAGATCATGAGATATTTGGTTGTCAACAACCTTTATTTTTAAGTGGTGATGTTACCCTCTTACAAATGGTGATATTAAATTGTAGTGTAATTGTCAAATGCGGTCTCAATTTTTGGTAAATGAAAAAAGATGTTGCCAAATATAGATCACTTAAAACTCACACCGCATGAAAATCTCACTTGAGAGGATTCGCGCCCAATATTTAATAACCAAATACAAATGACCGAATTACACAACTTACTGATTATGAACGTCTCAAATTTTACAATTCAGATGACTAAGTTATACAACTTTCGGGCACACTCTAAATTTGTGAAATGAGGTACGCTTTCTAAATTTTCGAACCCTAAATTTAAAAATCCCTATCTTTAGAAATTCATAAAAACATTCTGTGGAGTTGTTAGTGTTTTTTTCCAACACACCCCAATTACTAGTCTTTTCATTGATGACTTTACGCTTCAATTACAATCCGATCATCCTAATATATATATATATATATATATATATACACATTTTGTGGTGAGATGATCTAATTTTAATTTTATTCTCTGCAGACTCGATTGTACCTGGTCATTGACACACACGTGTTACTTGGAAGGCTGTGCTACTTGCCGGTTTGCGGTTCTCTGTGTTTCTGTTCTAGCTTGGTTGGTTGCTGAGTAAACTAATGAAAATAGTTGGAATTGAGATTTTTTAGTCCTCTCTGTTGAAAATAAACTTGATTTTAGTATTTAGTATTTTCAAGTATTTTTGTATCCATGATGCATGTGTTAATTTAGCATGTTAGTAGATAGTAAAGTGTCTTAGTGGGAGTTAAGATTATGTAAAATAAAGAGTCATGAGAGTTAAGCCTAACAAATACTATGTTAGTGGGAGTTATGCATATTGAAGATTATGTTAGTGGGAGATAGGAGAGTTATGGACATTTAAATGTAATGGTTACACATACATATGTGAGGCCTATATATTCATGTACTCTAGTCAAATAATAGATCAAATGAAATAAAAAGTATTTTCCTCCATTTCTATTCTCTTCCAAATAGTATAGTGTTGTGTGTGTAACTAGGCCACTATTTCCAACAAAGTGGTATCAGAGCTAGTTTGTGAGAGAGAGAAGAAATGGCAAACAATTCGGTTCCATTTCAAATGCCTTGATTCACCAAAGATAACTATGAAAATTGGTGTATCCGTATGAAGGCAATTTTGGGAGCACAAGATGTGTGGGAAGTTGTTTCCAAAGGTTATGATGAGCCAGAAGATGAGGCAACTTTGTCTCAAGCCGAAAAAGATGTTTTACAAGCCATGAGAAAGAAGGACCAAAAGGCGGTGATGACCATCCATCAATGTTTGGATGATGGAATGCTACAAAGAGTTGCTAGTGCAGAAAATGCAAAGCAACTATGGGAGATTCTTCAAAATTCCTTCCAAGGAGTTGATAAAGTGAAGAAGGTTCGCCTCCAAACGTTACGGGGTGAATTTGAAGCATTGCATATGAAGGAATCTGAATCAATTTCAGATTATTTTTCGAGGGTCCTGGCTATTGTAAATCAACTAAGGAGATATGGCGAAACCACCATGACTGATACAAGGGTCGTTGAAAAGATCCTTCGGTCGTTGGATTCCAAATTCAACTACATTGTTGTAGCCATTGAAGAGTCAAAGGATTTGGATTCCATGACTGTTGATCAACTCATGGGTTCGTTGCAAGCTCATGAAGAAAAGGTGGTGAAGAAACAAGAAGCATTGGAGCAAGTGCTACAAACAAAGTTTTCGTTGAACGAAAGAGACGAAAAACATGGAGGAAATCAAAGGGGCCGAGGACGTGGAAATGCACGTGGCCGAGGAAGAGGAAGAGGCCGTGGAAGAGGAAAAAGAAGCGGTCAACACACAACCAACAATGAAGAAAAAATCCATGACTCACAACAAATAAGAGGTCGTGGTAGAGGAAATTACTCAAGGTCATATGGAAGGAGGTATGATAAGTCTCAAATTCAATGTTATAATTGTCAAAAGTATGGTCATTATGCTTCGGAATGTAGAAATGTTGCTAACGATGTTGAAGAAAAGGCGAATTATGTTGATGAAGAAGTGGAGCCTACTTTGTTGTTAGCATACAAATGTGAAAGGAGTGATCAAGAAGATGTGTGGTATCTTGACACCGGTGCTAGCAACCATATGTGTGGTAGCAAAGAGAAGTTCGTTGATATTGATGAATCAATAAATGGCAAGGTAACATTTGGAGACTTATCACAAATTCTGGTAAGAGGGAAAGGTAAAATATTGATTCGTTTGAGGAATGGGCATCATCAATTTATCTCTAATGTTTATTATGTGCCTAATATGAAGAACAATATTTTGAGTTTGGGACAACTCTTAGAAAAAGGCTACAATATATCCATGAAGGATTGTAGTCTTTCGATAAGAGACCCATTGGGTAATTTGATTGCCAAGGTTCCAATGACAAAGAACCGGATGTTTTTGCTAAATATTCAAGCCGACGAGGCTAAATGTTTGAAGGCTTGTGTTAATGATTTAACTTGGCTTTGGCACTTGAGATTTGGGCACTTGAAGTTTGGAGAATTTTGTAATTGATACAGGTTGGGTGAATATGGAATTATTTTTTGACTCTAAAGAAGAAGTATATGTGAAGTTGAAGATCCATAAAAAATTTAAGAAGAAAAAAGATCGATGGTGTGCTTGTATAAAGAGGATGATATATGATTATGTGAAGACATCAAACAAGCATTTGAAGAAGTTTCACAAGCCCTACACATCAATGGAAATGGCCAAGAAGATTGAAGCTATTGAAGGAGGTGGAATTGAAGATCAACTATCGAACTTTTGATCAAGCCCCCAAGATTAATAAGAAGGTTTTTCAAGTTACAAAATCAAGTTTAAAGGGGGGTGTTGAAAATAAACTTGATTTTAGTATTTAGTATTTTCAAGTATTTTTTTATCCATGATGCATGTGTTAATTTAGCATGTTAGTGGGTAATAAATTGTCTTAGTGGGAGTTAAAGTTATGTAAAATAAAGAGTCATGAGAGTTAAGCCTAACAAATACTATGTTAGTGGGAGTTATGCATATTGAAGATTATGTTAGTGGGAGATAGGAGAGTTATGGACATTTAAATGTAATGGTTACACATACATATGTGAGGCCTATATATTTATGTACTCTAGTCAAATAATAGATCAAGTGAAATAAAAAGTATTTTCCTCCATTTCTATTCTCTTCTAAATAGTATAGTGTTGTGTGTGTAACTAGGCCATTATTTCCAACACTCTCCTTCTTGGTTTCTTAAGAATCATGGGTCTCCTTTTAAATATTGTTTTGCATTAGTATATAGAATTCTTTTATTTTATGCAGTTGAATTCCACGAACGTGGAATCTGAATTTTTTTGTTTAATTGTAGGTTTTTTTTTTTTTTTTTTTTTTTTTTGTATTAAGATTCTTTGAATTGGAATTCAATTGTCTACACTTGTTGGTTCCAAAAGCAACCAAGCAATGGAGTTGGCATTGGAGCCTTCAGTTCCAATGTTTATCACACTTGTGATATCAAGCACAGTCTAACTGGATTTGATTTTAGTTGTGAGGAATGAAAAATTGTTCAGGAGAGAGTTTAACCGAAACAATATAGGAATGAATGTTTTTAATTATGTATGACAATAGTTTGCAAATTGTGTTGTCACCCCTAGGTATAATTTGTCAGGTTCTGTGGTTCTCTCTATTGCTTTGCTGTTTCTATATTTTTTTAGTGCTTGATATTCTTTTCATGTGACTTAAGCAAGAAAATGAAGAAACTTAACTTCTTCTGTTTTTGTCACTTTGAGTTGGGAATTCTGTAGATCCTTTTTTCACCGTGGTGCAATAATATAGTCGATTATCTATTTTTTTAAACAACTTATTTGTATCTCGTAACAAATCAATTTGAGAGCCAATAACAATTTTATGATGGTTAATTATGACCGGGGATGTCCATGGAGTATATTGCTGTGAATTTGCAGAATCAGTGGTGAACAATCTCAAGATTGAATTTGAATTTTTTTTTTGAATGGTATTGAATTTGAAATTTTGCGTGTGCATTGCAGGATAATAATGGTAGCAGACACAAGGAGAATCAGTGCCTTCTTCGGAGAAGCATCCAATTGTCTAATTTAGCTCTAGTTCATTGTAGTTGTCAAAACTAAGACCATATATATATATATAGCTGTAGATTTCCTACGTTAGCCAAGACATATATCATACAAAGAGATTAAAATTTAGTCATTTTTAAAATATAATAAAATAGGAGTCGATACATTGTTTCGTAATGAGAAGACTAAATCGACTAATGTTTAGGAGAAAGTTTAACTTAGCAATATAAGGTGACAAATTTAAAGTTATATGTTAAAGGACTATCAAAGAAAGAAGAGAGATTAGAGGTCAAGAATCATGTAATGAATTTAAAAAAATACTAAATCAAATACAGCAACATCGGATTCAAAGGATGAAAAAGATATGATGTAGAATAAGGTGACTGAATGTAACAAGGGCTAGTCCAGTTCACGAGGCTCTCAACATTGCTGGGTCTGGGAAGGGTCAATTGTATGCAGCCTTACTTCCGCATGGAGAGACTGTTTCTGGTTTCAAACCCGCGACACAAGAAAGTATGGATCGTAGTAAAAATGAAATCAGAGTGTTTCACTATTCAGAAAAAAAAAAAAAAAAAATTAGAAATGCATACAGTTTCGAAAAATACAAGTACGCAAAGAAGGAAGATAAAAGGTAGTCATTATTAATGCATTTGTTATTCTCGAGTTTTTTCGAAAGTCATTATTGATGCATTTGTTGAAACCAGTCTTGCTCTTAAAAAAGATGCTCAGCAAAAGTTGAAGGCAGATACTTGACCTTTATATACTTTTTTGGCCGCTTGTTTGTTTTCTAATGTGATAAGACTTGTTTATTATTGTAGTTTATTTGATGATATTGCTTCGGGTTATCAATACGTTGTGAATAAACTGCATGTCCGCACTGTGTTTAGCTCTGTCAGGTCATGTTTAGGGTCTCTTTTGCCAGATTTGAATGCATATGCATGCACACTCACACCGATGCATGCACCTTACTTGATTTTTGGGTAACTTGGCAAGGAATGTGCTACTTTTGTGGTTTGCTAGGTTGTGGTCATCATATATGTTTCTGAAATTGCACCTTCGATTAGGGACTGTTCAGCACTTCTGCTGCCCGCCAAAAACTAATCAAGAAAAGCTTGGAACAGAGAGATTGTTGTCTTCAGCGAAAGGCAGCTAGTAATTTCTCTGAACTTCGGCCCTTGCATATTTTTGGATGATTCCTGACCTGGATTATATATGTTAATTTTTAACATTATTGAAATGCTAGTTTTATTTATACTTTAGCATTTTTTCCCAAGGAGTATTGTACTATGCCTATCCATGATAATCTTCTTGTCTTTGTGCGTATTGCTATATTCCTTGTCTTTTCATTTGATCTTCATTTCAGTCTGTATATATGATGAATAAGCTCCATTGTCTCCTTGAATTGCAGTTGCATAGCACCACTAGGAATATAAGGCATATCTTTTGCTTGCTTTTTATTTATTAATTTTTCTTTTTGTTGGTGCTTCATTCCTTTCAGTCTCAGGATCCTTATACCAGTTGCGTTTAATTTCTGTTTCCTCATTGGTATGGCTAATATTTGGAATTTGAAAAAATCAGGAACAAAAAAGGAGGAGAAGTTTTGATTTTAATTTTGATATATATAAATATATATATATATATATATATATTTGTATTTGTTTATCTTTATGCATGAGGAATAGGGAAATTGATAAAAATAGATCTAGAAGGGGTGAATAGTTGTTCAATTTTAATATAGAGAGTAGAAATAAATAAGGCATGCAACCATACAAGAGCACATGGTCTTTACGTGAAAACCCCCTATGGGGAAAAATCACGGGACCTAGTCCAGGCAGATCAAATCCACTATGATCGACTAAAGATTTTACAACTAAGTTAATAGTTCCCAATCCTTAGAACCCTTAGTTACCTCTTGACTCTCCACTCGAGTATCCAGACACAATCCGTTCCGTCAACAGATTACGTTTCTTACACAATCCTCTTTTCTACAAGCAGTTCGATCTCCTCGGCTAGTCATCCAGTTTGTGTGTTTGTTATATAGAGACACTTTGGTGTTGAATTCACCGTGTAGCACAAGGATTATGGTATTCAACAGTCTGAATAATAACTCACCATCTAATGCAAGATGCAGATGATGAAAAATAAAATATGCTCTCTAAAAAAATATAATCTCTCTTCATTTTATCAATCAATCCTTCAATCGAGCCTTTGATCGAAGCTTTTGAGATTCAAAACAAACTTCTCAGTTAACGTTTCGATCTGTTTTTGTAAAAAAATCCTGTTTTATTCTACTAATTTAAAACAATTTCATGCATTCAAAACATATTTTCATGAATAAAAACATACATCTGTTGTGCCCTAAAATGAGTCCTAATTGGTGAAATAGGTATTCAAGAGGTAATTTCCTTTTGATTTATAGGTAGCAATACTATTTAACTAACCAAACTGATTTTCAGAAAACTATTCAAAAGCTAAAAATAAAATTACTGACTCCGGTTTTTGTTATGAAATTTGCCAACACTAAGTTATAATCCTAGCACAAAGATCCGCGTTGATGAATTGGATGTTACCATTATATTGCTTCCAATCTTTTATCTGAAAACATGCAAACTAGATTGAAATCCTTTTCTATGAAGGTTAAAAGCGTATATTCCTTTTATCAGGAACAAATGTACAAGCATATATTTTGATATCGTTATTATTTATGTTCTCTTGGTTAGTCTTGTCTGGCCTGGCTACTGCCACATTCCAGATTTATATTACATTTTCATGAAGTTTATATTATTTTGTATCAATCAAAATATCTATATTATTATCTATACAGACTATACTATATAAAATTGTCAATAGAGTATGTTTTTACTTTCCAAATGTTGAGTATGTATGACACTCAAACCGAAGTTCTACCTAACAGCTAAATGGTCCTGTTTTTTTCTGGCTCACAAATTCTGAGCCTTGAAGCTGTACCTGCTTTCCTGCTTATTCCTGATAAAGTCAAACTTCTAGAACATGTTGTGTCGTTCATCTAGCTTTGAATCAAAGTGGTGAAGTATGACATGAATTTAATTTGAAATTAAAGTTGATGTTCAAGTGTGTATCTACTACCCATACGACCATGATATATGCAATTTATAACAACATTTATGTTTACATGAAAGAGTAGACGACTCTGCTTTAAATAGGCATGCTTTTGGTTGGACACTGCACCCAACTTGGACGGCTATGATGCATATTTGTTGCTGTCTTCGGTACTTCTACCAAAATGTATCAATTGTTTGTGTAGACAGTATGAAAGTAATACTACCAGTTAGCTAACTGTTTCCAATGAGATTGTGACATTGTTGGTTGTGACTTATTTGTCCTTCTGAGAAAGAACAGGCATGTCTGGAAATTGGTTTTCCAGTCTGCAAAAACTTGAGTAGGAACCCCAAACAGATAGCGCCAATGATTTGCTTCGGAAAACTCTAAACTTATCTACACGTGACAACCGATTGAGAGACGTGAGCGTGGGCTGTTGTGGTGGGGCCCACACCCATGTCTCATGGTCGGTTGTCGTGTGTCGGCAGGTGTAGCACGATTCATTTACCCTTCCTCTTCTCATTAAACTACTTCATTAGGAGTATTCACATAGGGTGCCAAGCAATTTTACATTTATTTGTTAATGTAGCAAATTTTCTCTCTCAGGTTAACATCACCAGTTTGGCACAACCATACCTAATCCTTGGAAGTCTCTGGTGGGGTGAGGCCGTTACAAGTGGTAACCGTTATCACCTTATCTATATTTTATTTAAATCCTTTTGGATTTGCCTATCCAAGCCACAATGATGATGCAGTGCTTCATCAGAAAAGTGCCACAGGCAGTGCATGGGGGACCCGTGAAGTTAAATTAATTTGTCAGTGGTACCATAACTGAACCCATTCAAGGATATCAGTATAACTAGCTGAGTATGGTAAATTTCTATGGTTAGAAGAGATAGTTGAAACACTTAGAAATGAGGAGGGTCTGGGTGGATTGATAGGTTTATATTATGCACCAGCAGGTTTATGAGTCCACTAATGCATATCTTATAACTTGGTGATATTTATTGGCTAATAATTTTTGAGATACCTACTATTTCCATGGTAAGACAATTCTATCTATATTTTTGCAAAAAATTCCCTTTCTATAGCCACATTAATTTATAAATGACGAGCTTAGGAGCTTTCATGTGACTAATATTGGGTATACCACTCACAAACGTATATATTTGTAGGATCAAGGTCCTCTCTTTTATTTGTTCTCTCCGATTATGGTTTAGAATGCGCGACGTTTACTTTTGTTCTGATCTTTTCAAAATAAGCCGGTGTTGCTTGCGGAAAGATGAGCTGATGTGGTGCATTCTGAACCATATATAGGATCAAACATCACAGTATATAGGAGTGAAATAGCAATGAGAAGGATCCAAATCCATATTTGTGAAAACATCTATTACACTCACAAATATGTTCATTTTCATACTTAAAATCATGTACCAATTGTAAGTTTTTTGTCAATGAATATGATGAAGAAACTTGATATACAATTTTATTTGCAATAATTTTTGGGTATACAAGATGCAAACTACTAAAGGGTCGACTCTAACTGCTTATCCAGTTTGTTTCATGTGCGTGGGCTGTTCAGAGTTCAAAATACTAAATTAGAGTATTACTGAAGCTGTAAAATGAATATATAATGCAACTTATCAAAAAAAAAAAAAAAATGAATATATAATGCAGACAAACTCAAAATTAGATTCTGAAGTTATACACTACTCTTTTTTGTGATATTTAATTTCTGAAACAGACAAACAGTTGTTGCAGTAGAAAGCAATCTTTGTTAATGACTGCTATGTTAGTATCATGAGATTTAGAGTAGTAATCATAGCCCACATCACTCCATTCTGCTCGGATTATTGTTTTCTTGTTTTCATACTAAAAAAGGCTGGCTTGAATCTTCTTCTCTACCCACGATGGCGACAACACGGGACTCATCTGACTCTCCATAATCTCCGACTGATGATCAGTTTCCACAGAGCTTTCCAAGTTCACCTTCTCACTGGGATAAACTTTAACTCGCCATACCTTGAAAGTTTGATCCAAGCTTGCACTGTAAACTAGTAACCCAATTACAGTATCCTCTGTCTCCAGAGAAACGGCTAAGCACCTCACCGGCCCATGATGACCATCCATGACAGCAAGACATGAATGAAAAGTATTTCCTTCTTCTCTCCTCCATATCCTTATAGTTGCGTCTTCGGATCCGCTAAGGACCAAGTCCCCTATGGATACTAAAGAAAGAACAGAGAAATGATGACCTTGTAGAAATCCTCCATGATTATATCTACCCGACATCTTCTCCTTCTCCCAAAAGTTTATAAGCCCATCAGACGAACCGGAGTAGAGGAAGCAACCACTTGATGATGTGCTCAACGCCAAGGCATTAACTGGTGAGAGTTGGAATTTTAGGGTCATAGTGAGAATATGCGAGCTCTCTCCATAAACCCTTCTCCATAACTTCACCGTGCCATCAGAGGAACAAGTGAACACACATCCATCTTCTTGGTTGACCACAATTGCGTTGACGTGACCTTCATGAGCCACAAATGAATCAATGCATCTTCGCTCCGAAACTTTCCAAGCTTTAACTGTTTTATCCCATGAACCTGTATATAAAATCTTTTCTGCATGATTGTAAGCTGTGCAGGAGATGTAGTCCTTGTGCTGATGGCTGTTCTTTCTTGGGTACAAGAAGAATGAACTTCGAGGTAGGGTTGCAATCTTCTTTGGTCTGAAGTTCTCAGTCAGAGACACATCCCACACACGTATTTTGCGGTCACCATGTGTGGTGAAGAGTAGTTTCCCGTAAGCCAATATTGCTCGAACTTCACCAGCACTGGCCTTAATATAGCCCATCTCTGTGCAATCTGGTTGCTTCCATGCATGGATTCTACTACTATCAGAGCCAGTGAAGATAAAATCTTTCGAGACTGCTATGGAGAAGATGTTACCTTCATGGCGGTGGAGTGACGCCAAGCAGTGATAGAGAAGTGAAGGGGAAGGAGACGTTCGCGGTGGGGATAGCGTCCATGGTGTCTCGGGACTGTTAGACCATAGTGGGAATGATGTTGCGGATGCGGAAGATGATCTTGCTGAAACAAAGTGGGGCTCGGGTTCATGAATGCCGAAGGAGAGTCTCCGAGGTAAGTTTATGTTCCTTCTCTCTTCATCCATGAAGCTCCACAGAGTTTTTTTCGGATAGAACTCCATTGCAGATGACTTGAAGGGGTAGAGCTGATGTTGAGCTGTAAGATTGAATGCATGTTGATATTTTAGGAATGGTATGTTAATTTTGTAGATGATTCTTGGTGGAGGGGACCGCTTTGTGCTTTCAAGGCATTACAATGGCATGCCATTAATCCAACAGTGAAGGACCAAAACAAGAGTGGACATAATCTGAAAAATAGGAAGTGGGATGATGGAGAGCATGTTAAGTTCTAGTATTATTTGATAATCATAGGTTATGTACCTTCTTTTTTTTATTTTTTATTATTATTATTTTTTTTTTGTTCTTCTTGTTCTCTCTCTTAGAAAAGAGAAGAAACTGTGAGATGTATTCTATCCTATATTAATTGATGGTATTGTACTGTTTGTGACAGAAAATGGTCCCAAATTCTTCTATGTACTTATGATTTGTCTACACCATCAATTACATTTCAACTACTATTGTACACAGAGCACTGTTACCAATTAACACCAGAACCAAAAAAGGGCAGATAGGTGGCCTAATACTTAAATCTTTTACCATTCTGATTAATTTACAGCATAAATCTTTCAAATGCTTTAGGGTTGTTTTCCCATAAGGTTGGTGATTGCATTGATTATCAAGAGTCAGCTTGGTTGTAGATCAAATGGTTGTGGTTGTGCTTCTGAATGATGGTCCTTGACCTACAGTGAGAGCCATTTAGTGGTTGGTCAAACCCATTTAAACAAACACTAGTAGTTATGTTGATATTTTTCATTACGTATTTTTTTTTTCCTCGGTGTTTACGGTTTTTAACGTGTTTACAAAATTTAGGAGTGTTCACATATATAAATGCCAACAATCTCTCATCCTATGCGATGTGAGATATCACTTTTTGTATCCAATGAATTAGTCCATTCTAAAATTTTGATTGTTTACTTAATCATGTTGGAAGTTTTTTAATCTCTTCTTAATCATGCTAGAAGATTTTGTTTGAGAATTGAAGACATCAACCAGATTGATAATATTTGGAATTAGTAGTTAAATAGTTTCAAAATCTTTGATTATTAAACTACAAGAGTGGGTGATCTATGCTTAGTTGTTGATACTAAAATGTGGTGTAATTGGTGTCCAACCCAACTCAGAAATTGGGCAGGCTGGGTTCAGTTCACCCATACCAGTATGTGTCTTTGCTTTTGTGATGTTGAGAAGGCAAGACAAGACCAATGATATAGAAGAATGAACGCTTTATAAAGTGAGAATACACCGTGTAGATAGATTCTCAAAATTTTGAAAAGTTCTAGGCAAACTTTCAAATGCAAGCTCTTTAGGTGGTTTTTCTTTTTTCTTTTTTTTTTTTTTTTTTGGCCCATTTCCTAAAATTTGAGGACTTTCCATATTGGAAGCCCTAGGCAACCGCTTGGGCCGCCCAGGCTGGCCCTGCAACCAATAGTACTTCAAACCATTATGAATTTTTTTTTTTTTTTTTTAACCATAAAAAGGAATGTTTAAAAATATCATTTTTCTCATGCAGTATATGCATGTTATAAGGAATTATTTATATTGTTTTAAAATTTTCTACTAAGATTTTTTTTTAAACAATAAAATTTCATGAATTAAAAGGTAAATTTGATCAAGAATATGTGATCAAAGTGGTATAATTTTTTTTTTTATATAATTTATTTTAATAAAAGGCACTAAAAATAATTAAATAAGAAAGGGTAAACTGGAAAAATAGTTTGATTGCTAGTGGAGGTAAGAACTTATTTGGAAATATTTATAAAAGTATGATTTTGTTGTCTTAAAAGAATTCTATAGGACTGGATGATTTATGATTGAAAAGTAGAATTACATTGTAATTTTTTCAAATTAGTAGATTGTCAAGCTTTGCTTGGCTAAGTTAAACTTTAAGCAAGCTATGTAAACTAAATTCAAAGTCATTACTATAGCATTTCAGTAATATTTATGGAAGAATAGATGACCTTAACTACCATTAGCTCAGAAGAACAAAATTAACAACTCCATGTTGTGGTGTATTTTATTTGTGATTCCACAAGTTGTAATCAGTCACTCTCAAACCATGGAAGTGCCAAGAACAACTTTGTCTCCTCCATCATGTTGGTCTTGGCAAGGCATCATGCACCGGCTTTGAAGCAAGAAGGATGTTGATGCTGATGCTGACAAGTATATTAATTCATATACTTATATATGTGCATATACTAACATCATTTCATAACGATTTGATGAAGGACAGAATTTTCAAAAGCCCGATTAGTCCATTTTTGACCGGAATGCAGATTTTTTTTTGGAGTGGAAACGAGCTATTGAGAAAAATTCACTAGCGAATATTTCGTGATTTTTGTCAAAGGTCTAAACAAAGTCAAATTGTTCAGAATTTTTATGTTAATAGTTTTTAGTGACCAGGTTTCTCATTCTATATATATATATATATTTTGGAAAAAGTTATTTTTTAGATTTATTTTTAGTATTAGTTTCCTTTTGATATTAAGTTTTTCGATTTTTGTAATGTCCCAAATCCCATCATCCGATGCATTAATCAAGGAAACCTAACCCGACCCGATAACGAGTTTAAAATGCGGAAGCGAAACTGAATGAAGAGGTCACTCGAGGCAAACTCACCTCTAGGACAACAAGAGATTCTCTAATGAAGTTACAAGACACAACCTAACTATGAATGCGAAAGTGAAGAATAAAAGGAATCAAACCGAATCTTAAAATGGAAGACCAAGGGTAAAATGGTCATAACGACAACGAGACATCATACGAGGTCCCAAAAATGTATATACATCAATATGGTGCAATCCTAAGTACTATAGATCAAGTGAGGATGGCCAAAAGTGAACAAAGAAGAAATCAGTAGCAAAGAGGGAGCTGCCAGCCATTGGTCGACGTATAAGGTCCACACGTCGACCAAAATAGCCAACTCAGTTGACGTGAAGGTCACTTTACGTCGACTGAAAGCTGCGAGTCTTGGAAATGGCTACTGTGCTACAGTGAAAAATGAGATACCGGTCGACGTGAAGTCCCTACACGTTAACCGAAACTCTGCAAAAACCTATCCCAGGTCTTAAAAGTTACATAAATAGTCCTTGGTCCAACTCTAACTCAAACCATGCATTCTGGTGGCCTCAAAACTGAAACTAAACCTCAACAATGATGGGACGTGTCATGGGAATGAAGATACAACAAGTGTGAGCAAGTGAGACATACAAAAGTGTGCATTTAGTATAGGAACATACATTGAAATAGAATGGCTCTTTGGCCTCAAATACATCATCTTGAAATAATTTGATTATACATATATATCCAAAGATAAAATATGAGTTTACATCCATTAGGGGAAAAGAGGTACAACATTGAATCTAAAATCCCAAAATATACATTAAGATATATTTACATCAAAAATACTTTCAAAGTAAAAAAAGTGGATCCAAATCCATAAATGAACCAAAAGTGAGTCTTCAACTCTAGAATTATCCATAGCTATTCCTTTCCCGAAAAAAATGGTTATATAATAGGGGTGAGCACAACGGCTCAGTACGATATGGTAGATTACACAAGTAATTTATGTCCTTTGGAATCCCCAAGGATATGTAATAAATGCTCGGCATCCCAAGGATGATAGGTCGTATAACCTAGAGTCTAAGCTCCGTGAAATAAAAGGGAATCATACACCATAATCCTAATTTTTGTAGCATGATAGTCTGACTCAACTCAAGTAAATAATTTAACTAAATCAAGTACCGCATGTACCATATCATCAAATGACATCCTCAATGATCTATAAGCCACATAAAGCACCTTAACAAAAAATGTTTACCACGAAACCGAAACGATAACAAAGTTCACATAACTCCATAAATCATGAACTCAACATATCCCATGAACTCCACCATGACACAACTCACGCATATGAATGCCATGATGCAAAAATGATGTATGCCCATCACTACAACAAATACTCGTATTAGGGACGAAATTTTTAGCAAGAAAATTAAATTTGTTGCAAAAGGCTGCAATTTGTGACAAATTCAAATTTTGTTGCCTAATATGTATTTTTTTACAACAAACATCTAAATTTGTCGCCTAATGTGTAATGTTTTGCAACAAATTACGAGTTCGTTGCCAAAAGCACTATTTTAGGAAACAAATATCTGTTTTGTCTCAAATGGTGAATCTTTTGCCAACAAAAATATTATTTGTGCCGAAAAATTATACATTTAGGGACGAATAATTTGTTGTAAAAAATTATTTTTTTTGAGACAAAAGGTTTTGTTGCAAAACGTTATTTTTTTGCAACAAATCTCTTTTTTGTCTCAAATTGTAAATCTTTTGTCAACAAAAATATTATTTGTTCCAAAAGACTTAACATTTAGTGACGAAAAAGTTGTTGCAAAAAAATACATTTTTAGAGATAACAATTTTTGTCTCAAAAAGTGAATTTTTTTACAAATATCTTTTTTGTCCCAAATTGAGTATCTTTTGTCAACAAAAATATTATTTGTCCCAATAGACTTAAGATTTAGTGACAAGTAATTTGTTGCCAAAAAATATATTTTTGGGGACAAAAGTTTTTGTTGCAAAAAGTTAATTTTTTGAGACAAATCTTTTTTTTGTCTCAAATTGTGTATCTTTTGTCAACAAAAACATTATTTGTCCCAATAGACTTAACATTTAGTGACAAGTAATTTGTTGCCAAAAAATATATTTTTAGGGACAAAAGTTTTTGTTGCAAAAAGTTAATTTTTTGAGACAAATCTTTTTTTTTTTTTGTCTCAAATTGTGTATCTTTTGTCAACAAAAACATTATTTGTCCCAATAGCTTTACATTTAGTGACAAGTAATTTGTTGCCAAAAAATATATTTTTAGGGACAAAAGTTTTTGTTGCAAAAAGTTAATTTTTTGAGACAAATCTCTTTTTTGTCTCAAATTGTGTATCTTTTGTCAACAAAAATATTATTTGTCCCAATAGACATAACATTTAGTGATAAGTAATTTGTTGCCAAAAAATATATTTTTAGGGACAAGTTTTTGTTGCAAAAAGTTAATTTTTTAAGACAAATCTTTTTTTATCTTTTGTCAACAAAAATATTATTTGTCCTAATAGACTTAACATTTAGTGACAAGTAATTTGTTGCCAAAAAAATATATTTTTAGGGACAAAAGTTTTTGTTGCAAAAAGTTAATTTTTTGAGACAAATCTCTTTTTTGTTTCAAATTGTGAATCTTTTGTCAACAAAAATATTATTTGTCCCAAAAGACTTAACATTTAACCTTGCCAATTGTCTCCGATCTCCATTCTTGTTACAACCCTCAAGATTGATCTCCCGAATCAAAAGTTAGCTCCAAAGTAAGGTACGTGTTTGATAAGCCTAAATGGGTATGGAAAAAATGATGAAACTAA